AATTTTTTGGATAGATGTGATCGTCTATCAGTTTAGGTGCCAATTTTATTTGTTTCGTTCTCTCCTGATCATACATATTTGCAACATGAGACCATCTCGCTATTTTATTATCGAAAATGAAATCACAAATGGTTAATTCATCTCTCAAGCAATTGATAAGATGGAGGACATCGAAAATACAATAAATTTTGCGTCCGTTCACCGTGAAGTATGTTTCTTCACTGCTTACAGAACGTAGTTTTGAGGTGCCCACGAATTTCGAACCTAAAGCTGAGACAAACACTCGTATATCCAGACCAATGGTTGTTATCAAATCAACAATTATTTCGTCAATCCAAGTATTCAAGTCCATATATGATTTGCACTGACTCGGAAATGCAATAGCTATTGGCTGTTTCCAATTATATATTATTCCATGGACCATAATAACTACACAATGCTCGGCCGCTTTTGCTCTTTGAATCCCATTGTATTCGTGAAATCCTATAATTTTATCATTTGTAATATCGTAAAATAAACTGGGTTTTACAGAGGTGCTATCCACGGAGATACTGCAAATCTTTTCTTTAGCATCCATTTTGTCAACCTTCATTTTTAAAACAGCCAACAAATGTTTGTCTAACTTAGTCCCCTTTGGCTTAAAATTTGTTTTTAAGGTAGCAAGAGGAGGTAAATTTAATGTATGTGAAAGGAATCTATATATTTCTTGGCTTGAAAAATGAAGATTGAGTGCAAACAAATTGAAATTGACATTGCTGTATTTATTTCCATTTTTCTTATAATCCGTTTGCCACTTTAATATTTGGCACATACCTTTACTAATAATGTCCGAATTATTGCAAACTTTAAAAAAGTCTGTGGTGAACGGATTGGAAACTAGTTTTTTTGTTCTTGTGCCCCTCGAAGTATTTTGTTGTGTCCATTGCGCCTTGCTATTAGAAGGCTTGTCATCGTCTAAATCTATTTTAATACAATGAAGTGTTTTAACATCGTTGTCCGAGACATAAGTTTCAGTAACAGTATCTTCTTGAAGATACACAGTTTCCCAATGACTAGTGCTTGTTCCTACAGTGTTTCCTTGGTCCATACTTGGTCTTTGAAGTGAATGTAATTTAAGGGTTGGGAATGCATCAGCAGTTAAATATTTTATAGTTCCTTTTTTGGAAAATACAATGCAGTCCTCTTCAAAATGTTCCTCGCATATTCTGTGTTGCTGTCTGGTTTTGTTGTCGGTTAGTTTAGGAAGGAGGTCTTCCCGATCGACAGCTTTGAGCCATTCAAGTAATCTGAAATTAAACGCTAAATTAATATTTGTTTTTGTTAAATGAAAAAGGTACTTTTACTACGTTTACGCGGCTGATAGCAAGGTACCAGAGAAGTAAGGGTGAAAGGCGAAGATGAAATCAGATCACTCGGCTCAACAAGACTACTTTACCTAGATTCAATTAATGTATTCTAAGAGTTAAGCATGAAAGTCAATCTAATAGGGTATATTGCTAGCAATGTAGACTAGCCTCTCTATACCTAACAATCCCCCTCCTTCTTCGCTGTCGGTATACGCACGCTATCGTATGTCGTAGCCCATCGTGATGAATTCACTGAAAATTAACTACGATGGTTTGAAAGAGGAACCACGTGAAGTTCGGCACGATGGGGCAAACAGTAACAATGTAACTGTTACACCTCATTACCAGTAGACCCTTTCCCCGTCGCGGGAAGGTTGTCATTCTACACTATGCTTACCTGCACGTGGTTTTTACGCTTATATGTTTCATTCCTTATCATTATTAATAATACTATAACCAATATAAATTAAATATAAGTTAAAAAAAACTAGACTACAATAATTATATAGAAATATAACAATGTCATTTAGATAATATTTATAAATAAATAGATAATTTAACCATTTATGTCTAGAAATAAGTTTTTTTACCTAGTCTGTTCCCTTGGGTACGTAAAATACGATATATTTTTGTTCGTTCTATTATTGTTCATACATATAGTACAATAGTTGACCATATTTAATAACCTCACTTTTTTAAACAGCTGTTGATTACACACTTTTTAAAAAATTGTGCCCTAAAATTTGTCCACTCCCGCAATACCGTACAATGTGCTACATAAACTCGCTCAACGTTTACTTAAAAAAAAAATAACCATATTTCACAGTCTTGACGTAATAACAAACGCGAAAGAAATGTATTCGGTATGATGAACCACACACATTATTTAAAAACGCGACCCTAAAATTGTCCACTCGCCGGTAATCGTAGCGAAACAGCGCGAGTCACTTTTGTTAGACTGTAGTGAAGTTGTCCACTGGAGTTGCGTCATCAATGCCTCAGTTGATTCGTAATGTACACATCGACGCAATAAATAATAATAACAATACCCACAAATGAGCGCCGTTTTTACTGGTATGCACGTGTGCAAAATTAGGTGGAAATAGTGACGTAACGATATATTCGACGTATACGCGTTCGCATAATAGAATATTGACCATATTTAATAACCTCTTTTTTATTTTATTTTTTTAATGTATAATAATGGAATGGTAACCACGCCTGCGCTAACGGTATACGCTGGTGGGTCACTAGTGAGGGATGATAGGTGAGGATGAAAAGGCAGGTCAGTTAGTCCACCGTGACGTTTTCGACGATAAATTAATTTAGATGGTTTCCAGGGGGAACCGCGTGGAGGTCTCCCTGATAGAGGTTTTTTTTTTATGGGTGATAATGGTATGATATGCCTGCGCTAACGGATGCGCAGGCGGAGCACTTTTGAAGGGTGATAGATGAGAATGAAAACAGGCCAGTTAGCACCATCATGATGAATTCATCAGGAATTAACCATGATAGTTTCCAGGGAGAACGTGCGAAAAGGTCGACCTGGTTCGATATTGCTAGCAATGGGATTCTCAGTCGCCATTACTAACAATCCCTTCCCCCCCCTGATAGTGGTTATCGATAGCAATGGGGACCTCCCCAATCTTAATCATAAACTAACAATCCCTTCTATCTTTATTTGTATTAGGTACAGTCAGTTTTAATAATTCTTACCAAATTTTGTAAACCAGAGGGAGACTTTGTACAAAAGTCGATTGCTTGGGTACCTCTGTCCCATTCGTGTTTCAACCGTGAAGCAGCTGTGTTTGCATGGCTGTGTTTCAAGAAGGGTGGATATGGCAGTGAATTTACAGGGTACACAGGAATAACACCTGAGTCCTCAGGAATGGCAACGCATGGGGGGTCTCATGGGCGAAACAGTATATTCTGTTATGTCCATGGTACTGCTCGTGTCTATAGGCGACGGTTACCACTTTCCATCAGGTGGACCGTCAGCTTGTTTGCCATTCTAAGTTGTATAAAAAAAAAAGGCGTCACATAATTGGTATATGAATAATATACGAAACTAAATTCTATTGATTTGTGAAACAATTATTGAAATTAAGTTGACGAAGATATAGCGTGACATAAAACTATGCACAGCAGGTATCTAGGTACGTAAAGTTTATAGACTACGCTTTAAAAAAGATTACATAAAAGAAAATGACTTTTTTTTACCTTCTTATTTATTTATTTAGTCATTAGTACATACATGTGTACATGGCGGACTTAATGCTAAAAGCATTCTCTCCCAGTCAACCATAGGGAAGTGTCAGAATACTCGAATGCGGTACTACTAATTATTGATATACATACATACTAAAATTACATATATAAACGAATAAATATATATAAATAACAAATATACTTACACATATATGACATATACTATATTATACACGAAATTGAGAATAATATAAAGCACTTACCTTCTTTATTTATGTTTGCGACTGAAGGAATTGTATCCATGGTCATGAATAAATTAAAAAAAAATTACCTTCAGGTACATATTCGTATATTATTCTAAACTGATTTTTTAAAGTTTTATCTACTTTCCCTAAATACGGAAAGAGAGGAACTAATAGGTATCAATTATTCACAGTGATGTTAAAAAATTTCTAATTTGTTTTTTTTTTTACAACGCAGACGAGCATGCGGCTCACCTGATGGTAAGTGACTACCGCCGCCCATGATCACCCACAACACCAACGACATTGCAGGTGTGCTGCCGGCCTTTTAAAAAGGAATATACTCTCTTCTTGAAGGTTATGTTGTCGTATCGGTTCGGAAATACTGCTGCTGGAAGTTGATTCCAAAGAATGGTTGTGCGTGGAAAAAAGTGCCTTGAAAAACGCACGGTGGAGGACCGCCACTCGTCCAGATGGTTGGGATGAAACTTTAGTTTGTGGCGGGTTGTACGGTGGTGAAAATGAGTTCAGCTAAAATGACTTTAATTATCTTCATAATAGTTGCCTGACCATTGATCAGTATACATACTAAAAGCGACGCCCGTCACCTAGATAACACGCATTGGATTGAAAACATTTTAGATTAATAATAATTAGGCATTATTTCACAAGCGGTACTTTTGGTTCACGAAGAAAAAATGCAGTTTTACTAAAATTATTTTATTATATTTTTTTTTATTAATTTATTATATTATAGTTTTACTAAAATATGCGTGTTATTAAAAATCACTTGAACAAGGCCTGTTACACACTAAACGATTACTTGAATGACAAATGTGCATGGTGTTAGTCGATCATGCACTCCTGCCTCCCCCATAGACTGTAATAAGGAACGGTTTTGAGTCACATGCATGCACTGACTCCCTGCAATGCACTTGAAGTCGTCGCTCCACCTAGTGGGGGGTTGTCCTACACTGCGTTTGCCTGTACGGGGTCACCACTTCAGCTAGCAAAGTTAGTATTTTATATATATAAATATATATGTGTAGGTGAATACTTATTAACTTTTATCATTAGTTTCGTGAACCTCTCAAGCCGAGACACCTCTTGTCCTACTTGCAATAAGATTGCAACTGTACCTACCCACATACATATACCTGTAGATAGCACATACACTTACTTATCTATAGATAAGTATGTTAGTATGTAGTTTATAAACCCGTATTTGTTACCTAGAAATTGTAGATACGCGGTTTGATACTTTGGTTGGGAATGCTAGTGTCTGTTGGACCCGTCAGATGGGTACCTAGGCACCTATTAGCTCCTATAAACTAGTACTTGGAAACGCGTTATTCCCCTAGAGATATTTCGCCCACACTACAACACTAGACTTTCGTATTTTGTTGTAACGTGGTCTCAGCGCCTTGAGCAGCGGGCGCGCGGTCTTGCAACGTCGCACTCTCGACCGACGACCTCGCGTTATCGCCCGCCAGCGCGCGCGATACGCAAAAGGGTCACCAGTCGCCGCGGCGCTCGCCGACGCCTAATGTCTTCAGTCAGCATCATCAATATAAACAATAGCAGTTTCCACATTGAACACCATAAGCACACCGTGGAAATAACTATTGCTGCGACGTGGCGACGCCGCGCTCCGTCTCGTTCTCGCGTGTCCGCCGTCTCCTAGCTCCGCCCCTCTCCGACCGCAGCGCCGCCGAGCGGCCGCGACGGGAATGTACACGTCGCTCGAAATCTACACGTTGCCACTCCGTACCAATAATTTCGCTGGACGTAAATTTTAACCTAAACAGTTCAATGTACTTTTCGGAAAATCAAAACGCGTCTGTTTCCACAAAACGTCTTATGTTGTACCGGTTATTGTAAAATAGTGTTGTAAAACGTTATATTTTCGTATTACTGTGATATCTAGTGATAGTTGCGTGTCGTGCGTGTGAGAAATTGTGAACACAGTCCTGTTGGAGGATTTTAACACTGTTTCTAGCTAAAAAGTAAGTAGTCTCTCTGTAATTTTGTATCCAGAAGGTCAGGTTGCCAATCGGCTATGTGTTAGTGATGTTTGTGTTTATATTCCATGATCGTCACTTTCCCCGTGCGTTCCTGTTCGACACACGTTCTCAGTTTATCTAACTGCGCAAATAACTACAGTTACTGTACAGTTGTGACATTAATGGAAAAACAGTGTTACATAGTTACATAGCACGTGCCTAGGAGCCCTGGATTATATAAGGAATGATAGCTTATCACGGCGATGATGGTTCGTCGTTATTTTGGTCTCGCTGTGGCCTTTGGTCGCGACAGTTAAAATAGACAGCTCTGTTCCGTGGTGGCAGTGCATACCACCCGCTGATGCATCTCTGGTGAAAGCTAGCGAATGGAACCGTTACGCAATATTTTCAGCCAGCACTCGCCGTTCGATTTTCAAATTTTTTTAAAAATAATATAACATTTGACGGAAACGGCAAAAACAGTGAGTTAATTAATTTCCCATTACATATATATATAGACATAAAATAATTTATATAAATAATAATTGGTTAATGAAGTCTTAATTACCGTAACAATAAATATACATATCGTCATAGTCGTAGAATACTGAAGGATCTGACAAATATTAAATATAAAGTTCCGTCAGTATTCTACGACTATGACGATATTTGGTGCTAGACGGACTTCTATCATTCAAACTAGTTACTGAAATCTGTAGATATTAAAAATAATTAAAAACCAGTTTATGAATATGCCAAAATCAAACATAACTAAATTATTAAATATCCAAGTTGCTAGAAGGTTGGTAGCTTTACATTTGTACGTCTTATTTAACCTAGTGTCTTATTAAATAACTTTTTTATTTCATCACCTTTCTATAAAATAAAATTTATAACGTCTGATATACCTAATTAAAAAAAATTGTCAGCTTGTAGTAGGTAGGTAGGTAGTAAATTTTTTTAGGAAGATAGATAGGTAAATATCACCTACAATAAAGTGTTTTTCTATTCTGAATAAAAAAAAATGTAAGCATACTTTTTTATTGATATATCAGTACATAAAATAAATATTTCCTTATTTAAAAAAGGCTCTTGTATTAATTGTATATTACGCGGTACTTTTTGTTTATTTCCAAATAGCGAAATTCAACAAATTCCATGACGATTGATCAAGAGTACAATTTTCAAATTTAATTATTTGGTTGCATAGATTTTATACAAACGTTTTTTTTTTATTCGAAGTGATTGGTTCTACTTCCATGTAAGGGTAACTTCATTAAGTGAAAGAGACAAAGGAAATAAATGATACTGCCAAATATAATGCGACATTTCCATATTCAATATCAAATGAAGATTGCAAGGTCTTCATAGCTACGTATGTATTGGTTTAATTTATTATGTACCAACATTAGCAAGTAGGTAGGTGGGGAGTTGACGGTGCCTTGGCTGGCGTGGGTGGGCACAATAACATGCTATTATTATATGATAATACATGTGGATTAGCTTTAATTGAACTGCCGAACTCACAGCTTTGCAAATCAACCAATTAGGTACTTTTGATGGATTAAAATAGAATGGAAACAACACCTGAGTCATTACTTTACGTTGGTAAAGTACTATAGTTTTTTTTTTTTTATGGGTGATAATGGTATGATATGCCTGCGCTAACGGGATACGCTGGCGGAGTACCAGTGAAGGGTGATAGATGAGAATGAAAACAGGCCAGTTAGCCCATCATGATGAATTCATCGGGAATTAACCATTATAGTTTCCACGGGGAACCCTTCACTGGTGCTCCGCCAGCGTATCCCGTTAGCGCGGGCGGGGTTACAATACCATTTTCACCCATCAAAAAAAAAAAAATATATATATATGTAGGTATGTTTGTACGAGCTTGATTATAATATTATGGCAAAGCGCGTTGGAAAGTAGCCAGCTAGATTCGCGTAGGCGTATGGAAACACCAACAAACAGGAAAGTAACGGGGGGATTTTCTTATTTATAGACAAACCTGGCTAGGCCCTGTCGCGGAGTTCGCTGAAATTGCCATTTTTTCACATAAACAACAGTGTAAGGTAATAGCAATGATCTATATATGCACATAGATGGAGCTAGTGTTCAAAACCGTTCCATAATTTTCATCTCTATTTATTTAAACTTTAATGCATAGTAAAACTATACGTACATATCGTCATAGTCGTAGAATACAGACGGATCTGAACAAGATTACATATAAAGATCCGTCAGTATTCTACGACTATGACGATATGGCAGACTTAACACCGGACGGTGTTCTCTACCAGTCAACCATTGGGCAAACAGAAATACGTAGGCGGTGCATTATTGAATTAAAGAAATAAAAAAAAAATCTATACTTATAATAAATCTGTAGAGAGGTCAATTCTGTACATAAAATATATTTCCAAAATAACTATCAGCGGGTGATTAGTGATCGATACTGATGCCAAAAATGCAATTAGTAAATTTTTTGTCTGTCTGTCTGTATATATTTTCGTTATAGAAACAAAACTACTCGACGGATTTTAACGAACTTTGGTACAATTATTCTTCATACTCCTGGACAGGTTATACTTTTCATCACGCTACGATCAATAGGAGCAGAGCAGTGAAGGGAAATGTTAAAAATGTCCATCCGTGCGACGCCGGGACGAACCGCTAGTATATTAATAAGATTGGAATTAGAATGGCAAACAAGCTGACGGCCCACCTGATGGAAAATGGTAACCGTCGCCTATAGACATGAGTAGTACCATGGACACAACAGAGTATACAGTTTCGTCCATGATACCCCCCATGCGTTGCCATTCCTGAGGACTCAGATGTTTTCCTCTGTACCCTGTAAATTTACTGCCATATCCCACCCTTCAAACCGAAACTCAGCCATGCAAACACAACTGCTTCACGGTTGAAACACGAATGGGACAGAGGTATCCAAGCACTCGACTTTTGTACAAAGTCTCCCTCTGGTAGATTATATATAATTATTCCGACCACTTACGATTTTATTATATCTATTGATATTGATAATATAAATAATAGTACATAAACATAAATATATAAATATAAATGTACTAAATAGATCAAGTAAATAACGCGTAGTAAACATCGAGGCAAATTGGAGAGAGATAGGTAATGAGGTTTATCTATACTTATGTATTTTACTATCTAGGTATTATTTACATTGTTTAGATAAATTTGTTTAAATTGTATTTCAGTGTAACATTAAAGTATATATATATATATATATATATATATATATATATATATATATATATATATATATATATATATATATATATATACCACGGATTTAGGCAGTTTGACTTTTGGTCATGTTTTAAGAGGGACGCTGTGTGAGGATCCCTCCACCAGGAGCTCCTTTAGTTGCCTCTTGCAATACCCACAGTAAAGAAAGGGGGAAGTAAGGTAGACAGTGTTTTAAATTATCTTTGTGGACCTATACTATAGACTGCGTATAACTTTTTCTAAATAAAACGCTTCTAAATATTTTTTTTATGACTCGTTTGTCTATGATTTTAAAGACTTGTTGTTATTTCTTAAGTACCTATTTATCTAAAACGAGCCTTTTTCAATTAGGCCTGTTCCTTTGCCTCTTAAACTAACAAAAATGCAATGGACCGAACTGTATTTTTATGGCCTAGCCCATTATGAGGTCTATGGCTGAATCGTTTTATATGCTGCGTCAATCTACACTAATATTATAAATAGGAAAGATTTGTATTTTTTGTGTGTATGTATGTTTGTAATGAATAAACTCAAAAACTACTTTGCCGATTTTAAAAATTGTTTCACCATTAGAAAACTATATTCACTCTGAGTGACATAGGCTGTATTTATTGCTAGAAAAGATTAGGGATCCTTACTAAAACTCTAGTAACGTAACTCAAGGTGTAAAAAATGCTATATCTTTCGTCGTGTGCGCTGCGGAAACTATTGGTGATGGAACAAAAGTATGTTCTACAATATTGAAGAAAATATCGATAACTACAAAAAACTCCGCGATACTATATGTCCAACTATTATCGTTATGTCGCAATAGCTACTTTTAAAATATTGTAAAAATGTCCACCCGTGCGAAGCCGGGACGGGCCGCTAGTAACATATACAGTGTCTCGGATTACTAGTTACAGATCCATGATACAATGTCTACGAATCGTCACGTTGGCAGTGTCAGCAGTTTCTTTGCCTTTCTTCGCTTCTTGGAATGGAGACTTTTGCTGCAGTCCGTTTCAATAGGGCTTATTTATTTATTTATTCTTTATTGTACACAAAAAATTACAATATATAATATATATGAAATAAGGATGTACAACAGGCGAGCTTAACTCTGTAAGAGTTCTCTTCCAGCAAACCCTGAGTGGAAAGGAGCATTAATCACCAGCGGGCAGTATGCGTACAATAATAGGAGGAAACATTATAGATGTTTCTATTAAAAAATTATAAATATGTTGACGTACATATATAAGTAACTCATACAATTTAAAACAAAATAAATACATATCTGTACACAATAATACATATACATATATACATAGACATAAAATATAATGATATATAAACAAATGAATACCACATATCTACCATAAAATAAATGCATAATTAATTGTGAAATTTTGCGTTGTTGACACATATTTTACCATATATGTATGCTTTTTTTTTATTGAACGATAATGGAATGGCAACCCCACCTGCGCTATCGGTATCCGCTTCCACCAGTGAAAGATGATAGGTGAGAATCAAAAGGCAAGGCAGGTCAGTTAGCCCATCATGATAAATATGCCTGGAATTTAACACCATGATTTCTGGGGACGACCACGTGCCATGTTCAGCTGCTGAGCGTGGTAGAATTGGCGCTTTACGTTTTCCTTTATCATACGTACGGCCAAGGAGTGGAATTCTATTCCTGTATATGTTTTTTCATCCAAATATATTTTGCACCAATTTAAAACAAATGAGAATAGTCGATTCGTGGGCTCTCGAGCCCCATCTTAGACCACATCATCTCTTACCATCAGATGAGATCGTGACCAACCGCGGGACCCAACAATAATTAAAAGAAATATCGGTAACGCAGGCGAGGTTACCATTCTTTTATCATCCATTAAAAAGCGGAATGGTAACCCCGCCTGCGCTACCGGTTTACAGTGACGGATGATAGGTGGAGTTGAAACCAGATCAGTTGGCTCGTCGACGCGTTAAAGAGGGTACCGCGTGGAGGTCGACCTGATAGGATATATTCCTGGCAGTGTATTATAATACTAGCATTACTACCACTCTTCATTACTACATAACTGGGAGATTATGTAGGGTTTCTAGACATTGTCTGTATATGTAATGGGAGATATTTAAAAAACATATATCTACGGTCATAAAACACTAAAAGATACCAAAATTTTGTCTGTGTGTCTGTCTGTATGTTTATTTCGGCATCATGCATGAACTATTGCACCAAATTGAATGTTGTCGCTCTTGTGTTCAGGTCCAATTTAAAAACGGTTCTATATTAAGGAAACCCAAGGAATTTTTAAGTAATTGGTTTTCCGAGTTTTTAAATACACGTTTTTTTTACAATACGGAACAAACAAGCGCGCGGCTCACCTGATGGTAAGTGACTACCGCCGCCCATGATCACCCACAACACCAGCGGCATTGCAGGTGTGCTGCCGGCCTTTTAAAAAGGAATCTACTCTTTTCTTGAAGGTTATGATGTCGTATCGGTTAGGAAACGTACATGTACGAAGTAGCGGGAAAAAGGTGGTAATTCTAATAATATAGATACTTCTAGAAAAGATTAATAAGTCGTGTGTCATTGTCCGCAGGTTGGTGCAGTGTGGGCTTGGCCGTGTGCAGTGTCCGTGCTAGTGTATGTGTGTGTGTGAGTGCCCGATGGCGCGGAGCTAGCGGCGTGTCCCGGCATGCGCGCCGCCTAGCCATGCCCGCTGTGCACCATCCCACATGGCGCAATACACACAAAGGACTCAGCCGATGCACAGGTAAACTCACAAGTTAACGATTATCAGGTATAAACTCACAAAGGGTTAGACATGGATATTATAGCTATATTTAATTCGTTATCGTGTAGTGATTTTTGTTCACTGTGATATCACTAGTGACAAATCACAGACAGTGATTTTCCTTCACTATGATTTAAAATGAAATTAGTTGATTTGCATTAAACAGGTTTAAAATTATGACAAAAGCCACGTAGTACTTACTATTTTGGCACGTGTTTAATTGCCTAATACGCAGGCGTGCGAAACAAAACATTTTATAAAAAAAAAAAATTAAAATATATGATTCACTACTTAGTGTTAATTATGAATTAAAAAAAAAGAGACTAAAAGTGTGCTAAAAGACTTTAAAATCCACTTAAGTATTTCGTTTTTAAAACAGTATGATAGTCTTTAATGTCTCCCTTCGTACGGGTCAGATAGTCATTTGCCGCGATTTCACTTAGTGAAATGAAATCGCCGTAAATATTACCAGTGGCTAACGGAACACAGCACATACTCACGAATAAAACTTTAATTTTGAAACATTTGAATTTTGAAACATTTTGAAACATTTTTTAGTGATTTTAAAAATCTATAAAATGTATCACTCCATCTTATAGATTTTTTAAAAAATTGAAAAAAAATGATTTTAGCTAATGTTATTTCTTTTATTATATGTGGTCACATATAACAAGTGAAATATCATATAGCTACGCAAAATCATTTGTCGATCCATCTACGTCGTTTTATATTCCAAACATTAAAGGATTTGCTTTGCATAAACCCGCCGTTGGGGAGGAAAGGAATTGATGGTATGGTCAAACAGCCCCATTCCTATCAATATACTCTATCTGGTGTTATTATATATTTTTTTTATTTATTTATTCATTAGTACAAATATGTGTACATGGCGGACTTAATGCTAAAAGCATTCTCTCCCAGTCAACCATAGGGAAGTGTCAGAATACTCGAATGCGGTACTACTAATTATTGATATACATACATACTAAAATTACATATATAAACGAATAAATATATATAAATAACAAATATACTTACACATATATGATATATACTATATTATACACGAATTTGGGAATAATATAAAGCACTTATTGCTCGGATAAAAATAAAAATAAAAAATATCTCTCGTCTCTCGCTGGTGCCCCGCCAGCGTATACCAATGACACAAGCAGATTTGCTTTTCCATTTTCACCCATTGAAACAAAATTAAGTATAAACACTTGGCTCACGAGAACGTGACTGCTTATTAACACTTCTTTAAACTAATATATTAAAATGAATAAGATATTTATTATCACAATTGTTATTTATTTAACTCTTTATTGCACCAAAAACATAAAAATATACAATGACAATTAGAAAATTCAAGTGAAATACAGTAGCATGGAGTAGAGATCAGAATGTACACATAAAGGTACAAAAGGCGGTCTTATTGCTAAGTCAATCTCTGACTGACAACCTTTGATTAAAAGAGATAATGAATAACATGTTTTTTAAACTGATAACAGACCATTGGGGTATTTAAGATTATTTCCCAGGGGCATATTGACTCCTTGAAAAAGGCCTATATGTAGACATGCCTCTTAGCTATACTCTACTCTGTTATGTCCATGGTACTGCTCATGTCTATAAGCGACGGTTACTACTTTCCATCAGGTAGGCCGTCAACTTGTTTGCCATTCTAAATTGTATAAAAAAGGCATGTTCTTGCGAAGCTTTGTTCGTAATCTGGGGTGGGCACCGGACGTTTCTAAGACGGGCCAGCCCGTACGGTCTTCCCGTCTATGTACGACGTATTCGACGCGCATAGGATTAACATCCGGTGTTCTCTGATGTTCTGTCACGTTTTAGATGTAAAATTTTTTTGGTAAACCCTAATTTTATGCAAAATATTGACCGATTAAATCTCATAATCGATAATATATACTTTTACCAGGGAGAGACTTTGTACAAAAGTCGATTGCTGATTCGTGTTTCTACCGTCAGTTGTGTTTGCATGGCTGTGTTTCGGTTTGAAGGGTGGGATGGCGTAAATTTACTGGGTACGGAGGAATAACACCTGAGTCCTCAGCATTGGCAACGCATGGGGGGTATCATGGGCGAAACAGTATACTCTGTTATGTCCATGGTACTGCTTATGTCTATAGGCGACGGTTAATACTTTCTATCAGGTGGGTCGTCAGCTTGTTTGTTATAATTTTTTTTTTTTTGTTATAAAAATAATAAGTTTAGAAGAGCAAATATTTCGGAATAGAACAGATGGAATGCATAATTCACATATTGTGTTACTCGTTGTATTTATGACATTGCCAATGCGTTAGAGAGGGATGGACATATAAAAACGCATCTGCCTTTTGACTAGTCTGTAGAATTCAAATTCATCAAGATATGTCACTGGATTTTATTGGCCGTATAATCCTACCAAATTCAGATACAACCTGCTTGCATACTTTCTACATAAACTGTGTCGAATATATAATCTAGTAATGTAAAATTTGTTATTGACAAATAATTGACATGTCAAAATAAACAAAAATTTTACATACGTCTATAGGCGACGGTTACCACTTTCCATCAGGTGGGCCGTCAGCTTGTTTGCCATTCTAAGTTGTATGAAAAAAAAAACACATACATTTTCTATACACTAGCCTGCTATGAATATAAATATAAATTATATTTGCATAAGAAGAAATGAGGCAACTATATGATTTACAGTTTTTATTTTATGCATTCCTTCTATGTAATTCCTTTTTCTTAGGTTTAGAGTATAGGTTTTTTTTGATGGGTGAAAATGGTATGGTAACCCCGCCTGCGCTAACGGGATACGCTGTCGGAGCACCAGTGAAGGGCGATAGATGAGAATGAAAACAGGCCAGTTAGCCCATCATGATGAATTCATCAGGAATTAACCGTGATAGTTTCCAGGGAGAACCGCGAGGAGGTCGACCTGGTTGGGTATATTGCTAGCAATAGGATTCTCAGTCTCCATTACTAACAATCCTTTTCCCCCTAGTGGTAGTAGTTAGTAGTACTAATTGACAGATGTCATGAATGAGCAAACAGTGAAAACTCAAATTTATGTATTGGAAGATTTGAAAACACATGTCTGTTGTACCGCCATAAATTGTGTGCTGCATACATATACGTGCATATAAACCATACATCTGCATTTATATGTGTACACGGCGAAACAATGGCCCCAAGTAACGGACGGCGGCTCGACACAGGTTTGCCAATTTGTCTTAACCGGTTACGATTAATGGTCAATTAATTAATGCTTGGAAAGGACTAGCTTTCTCTTTACCAAAATATATCCGTACACAATTTTTATAGGTAGTAATTGCAGACTATGGTTTTTTTTTTTTAATTTTATTAATGACTTTAATGGCATTATGAATTATATGGGAACAGTGCGGAAGTAAAGTCTGTTCTTTTATTTATTGTTCACTGAGAAAAGAAAATAAAAAAAAAATATATTAATCAAATAATAATTATTAAATTTCATGTCTAATTTCACGTAAAAAGAAAGAGTGATCTCAATCTCGTCAAAGTGAGAAATGAGGTCAAGAATTAAAAAAAAACATAATACCTGACAACCTATACTCTAGGGGGGAAACGGATTGCTAGTATTGGGGACTTAGAATGTCATTCTAGCAATATACCCAACCAGGTTGACTTCCACGCGGTTCCCCCTGGAAACTATCATGGTTAATTCCTGATGAATTCATCATGATGAGCTAACTGGCCTGTTTTCATTCTCATCTATCACCCTTCACTGGTGCTCCGCCAGCGTATCCCGTTAGCGCAGGCGGGGTTACCATTCCATTATAACCCATTAAAAAAACTACTACCACTGTGTACTACTGGGTTCTAACAGCCCCATTGCTAGCAGTATACCTTATCAGGTCGACCTCCACGTGGTTCCCCTTGGAATCCATCGTGGTTAATTCTAGTTGAATTTGTCACGGTGGCCTAACTGACCTGCCTACATCTTCACCTGTCATCTATCACTGATGCCCCGATAGTGTATATCGATAGCGCAGGCGGGGATACCATACCAATATCATCCATTAAAAAACCCACAATTTATTGCGTAACAACAGACATGTTTTTTTTAATGGATGGTAATGGAATGGTAACCCCACCCGCGCTCCGTATACACCGGCGGGGCACCAGTGAGGGATGATAGGTGAGGATGAAGTAGGTCAGTTAGCTCATCGTGACGATTTCAACAAGAATTGTTCACGACGGTTTCCAGGGGGAAGCACGTGGAGGTCGACCTAATAGGGCATATTGCTAGCAATGGGGCTATCAAACTCCATTGCTAACAATCCCCCAACTCCCCCCCCCCCCCCCTCATCAACATTATATTAATCCTTATCATAATAACAGAAATTGACGTGGGCGAAGTCGCGAGCAACAGCTAGTTATATACATAGATTTTATGTACGATCACCTTGTTTGTAAGTATATAATGCTAGCATGTAGTATGTATAATGTAATAAACATGTAAAGGTACAGTTTAATTAAATTAAACGGAAAATTACTGATTACTATAATTACTAATATAAATGTGACCAGTTGTGTATAGAAATATTTTCCCTAAGGAAACAATTTATGACATGTTTTTTAATTATCTAGGTTAGTGTTTTACGACCTGTGGGTCGCTTACCATCAGGTGGGCCGTCAGCTTGTTTGCCATTCTAAGTTGCATAAAAAAAAATTCTGCTGCAGTTCAGACATTCACAGCAGTGATTAAGTAATACAATTCCATGGTAAATAATTGTAAAGAGGTATATATGTGTGAGTGGGTAGGGTAGTGTGAGTTATAGTGTGATGTAAATAAATGTAAATGTGTAGTGTATATATATATATACGTATATATACATATATGCACATAAGGTAGTTATGATATTATCTTATCCATTATTACAGCCCTGAATTTATATCTAGGATTTATTGTTCGTAAATAACACTCTTACTTTACTAAGGTTCCGTATAATTATATATCTAGTATAGAATATGATCATACACAAAAGAAGACTATGCCGAATCAGTTTCCTTTGCCTCGCCAAATATAAAAAGAAATTAATTTAAGTGGGTCGCTATACTGTTATAAAACAAGCAATATTAGACTCTCATACATATACAATAAGGTCAAAGGCCGTCGAGTTGGTACAAAATAGTATTGTTCAGGTTAACAAACAAAAGTCGTTGGCCGATTGACGTGTAGCAATTTGCATAATTTACACGCGGGTGACACATCAGGAAGGTTTAGTGCAGTAAATGAACTATAAAACTTTTAATTATAGTTTAATAACGCGTGACGTCACGCTACGTGCCTGGCATGTTAGTGTAGCGTTAGTGATGTGCCTATTGTGTTTAGTACATAACGACAATTAGATTGAACGCATAGTGATGTTCCTTATGTTTTTAAAAATGCAAGCTCTAAGTCTAAATGATAATGTCATGCTTTTTGAGCGTTCTTTTTTAATACCACTGAGGTGGCAAACAAGCATTCGGCCCATTTGATGGTAAGCGATTACCGTAGCCTATGAACGCCTGCTATATCAAAGGCATACCGCGTTTTGTCGATCCTAAAAAAAACTTTTTTACCTCTATTTTGAAAAAAAACCCGTACTGTTAGAAATATGTTGTGTATCTCTTAGGAAAACTATGACACTCATTCCATAATTTGAGCGTTCATGAGGGGAAGCATATCTGAAACCGCGTACCCGACCGTCTAGGCCGGTGTTCCCCACGTGGGGTCCACGACCCCCACAGCGGGTCAATTTGATAATTAAGGTGGGACAATTAAAAAATGGACTCGAAGCTATTTTAACCCTTTTGCTGGCCACTTAAATGCAATGCTAAGAGTAGATATCGGTGCCAAATTTAACAAAAAAGTAAATTAAAAAAAATCTATAAATATTTATTAGGTATAATTTCGTTTGACGTTACCAAAATATCAACTGGGCGTTTAGAGTCATCAAGTAAATTTTGTCGGGAAAAATTATGTATGGAGGCATACAAATTTTAAAAATGTTTAAGTCTCTACGGTACCCATACCGTATCGGAAAGTAATAACATACTTTACTCCTAAGTGAGGTATGTTAGTACTTTCCGATTAGAAACTAAAAACATACTACTATATAACGATATCACGTAAGGACTACTATCAGTCCCGATAGTACTCGACACTAGCTATGAAACAATCCTAGATTACTAAAACACTCACATTCAATCATTCGGTAATTTGCCATTTCTCTACAAGAAATTTTAACCTTTTTTTTGTACAACTTAGAATGCAAACAAGCTGACGGCTCACCTGATGGAAAGTGGTAACCGTCGCCTATAGACACGAGCAGTCCCATGGACATAACAGAGAATACTGTTTCGCCCATGATACCCCCCCTGCGTTGCCATTTCTGAGGACTCAGATTTTATTCCTCTGTATCCAGTAAATTCACGCTATATCCCACCCTTCAAACCGAAACACAGCCATGCAAACACAACTGCTTCACGTTTGAAACACGAATAAGACAGAGGTACCCAAGCAATTGACTTTAAATTCACCTCTTTACCTTTCACCTCACCTTTAAACTAACCTCAATATAAATGCATTTTTCCTATTTAGAATTCCTCAAAATTACTTTATATTATTTCAACAATATTATTAGAAAACATTAATTACAAATACATATTAATAGTACAAAATGATTGTCAAATAAATCCCTCAGTTGGAACAACACTAGCGTTTTGCTCGATGCAGACCATAGACAAACCGGAATGGCTAAAACGCCATTTTCTCTATCTGGATGTATTTTGCGGCAATTAGGCATTAAAACTGTCACATTACTGTACCGAAAAGGGAAGATTTATGGTATAATTAAGCAATGAGAGAATAAACGGGGGTTAATATTATAAAAACTGGATTTATTTCGTTTATTAAGCCATAAAGAAGTTGTGTAGAGTCCGCTCGCACCGCAGATGCGCTTGAGCTCACTCGTACTATCTGAAATAAAAATAAAAAGTATCTACATTATGTTTTTTTTTTTTAGAAAATGTACTAGACCATTGCGACTTTAATACATAAAAAAAAAACCTGGCAGTGTCTGGAAAATAAGAAAGAAAAATTAGACAATATGGTTGTTACCATAGTTATTATTTTTATACTTAAAAGTAAGGGTTGGTAACATATAGCAATATTTACTGATTTAATAACGAATGTGTTAAAAGTCTGTTATACCAGAGGAAGACTTTGTACAAAATTCGATTGCTTCGGTACCTCTGTCCCATTCGTGTTTCTACCGTGAAGCAGTTGTGTTTGCATGGCTGTGTTTCGGTTTGAAGGGTGGGATATGGCATGAACTTACTGGGTACACAGGAATAACACTTGACTCCACAGGAATGGCAACGCATGGGGGCTATCATGGGCGAAACAGTATACTCTGTTATGTCCATGGTACTGCTGATGTCTATAGGCGACAGTTACCACTTTCCATCAGGTGGGCCGTCAGCTTGTTTGCCATTCTAAGTTGTATAAAAAAAAATCCAAAAATTAATATTGGATATCAAACTTTTAACAAATTCGAAAATAGATATTTGATCGATGTGGGTGATGTCGAAATGGGTGATGACCTTTTTTCCGTCATGAGTGTTCAGAGGATCCCAATATATAGGTATCAGATCGGTATGCATATTACCCATGCCTATTGAATAGGCATTTAAAGAAAATCTCATAAATATATTGTAGGCATTTACGAAATAAAATTTATCGCCACGAGTTTGCATGTATGTGGGCTATTAAGTAAAAAAATCGTATTTCAAGCCTTTGTTACTTTCTCCGGATTATTTCGGATTCCGGATCTAAGTTGGGGTATTTATTACTTTTATATATAACTAACCGACCCGACAAACGTTGTTTTGGCCATTACAGTCCATTGCTAGCAATATAGCCTATTTTTTTAATGGATGATAATGGAATTGTAATCCCCCCCCCCCCCCCCCCCCCCCCGCACTAACGGTATACGCTGGCGGGGCACCATTGAGGGATGATAAGTGAGAATGAAAAGGTACGTCAGTTAGCCGATCGCGAAGAATAAACTTGGAATTCAGATCGATGGTTTCCAGGGGGACCACGTGGATGTCGACCTGACAGGGTATATTGCTAGCAATGGGACTGGTACGCATTACTAACAATCCCTACTACCCCAATATACCTTATTAGATAATGGAGTAGTAACCCTGAGTTAACGGTATGCACTGTCGAGGCACCAGTGAGAGATGATACTTGAGGATGGAAGACTGCGTTTCGGTTTGAATGGTGGTGAATTTACAGGGTACATAGGAATAACATCTGAGTCCTCAGGAATGGCAACGCATGGGGGGTATCATGGGCGAAACAGTATACTCTGTTATGTCCATGCTACTTTATATATCTATAGGCGACGGTTACCACTTTCCATCAGGTGGACCATCAGTTTGCCATTCTAAGTTCCAAAAAAAAGTAAGTCAGTTAGCTCATCGTGACAAATTCAACAATAAATTAATCACAATGTTTTCCATGGGGGACCGCGAGGAAGTCAACATGATTAGGTTTATTGCTAGCAATTGGGTTCCCACATCCCTAATATTGCAGGCATCTTTAAGCTATACTGACCGTTTATCATCAGACGGGCTAAATGCATGTTTGTCACATGGGTGATATGAAAAAAAAAAAAAGCTGATAATGAAAAACTGATATGAATAATGCTACACGTGTGTAATTGTAAGATATGACTAATCAGTATTCTGTGCTCATTATTATTTCAAAGCTTTGCATTTCATATACGTAATATGATATAGGATTTGTACCTATTTTATTTAGCTACTCAAGCATTGTAACTTGATATTTTATCATTACTTCTTGGAATGACAAGCTCACTTTGCACTTCAGTGTCATATTTTAAAGGAGATACTAACATTCCATTTTTTTTATGCAATTTAGAATGGCGAACAAGCTGATGGCTCGCCTGATGGAAAGTGGTAACCGTCGCCTATACACGTGAGCAGTACCATGGACATAACAGAGTATACTGTTTCGCCCATGATACCCCCCATGCGTTGCCATTCCTGAGGACTCGGGTGTTATTCCTCTGTACCCAGTAAATTCACGCTATATCCCACCCTTCAAACCGAAACACAGCCATGCAAACACAACTGTTCTACGGTTGAAACACGAATGGGACAGAGGTACCCAAGCAATAGACTTTTGTACAAAGTCTTCCTCTGGTAAGATTCTAGATTGTGATAGCACATATACCAGTTCTTAAGTTTTTTTAATAGATGAAAATGGAATGGTAACCCCACCCCGCCCGCGCTATCGGTATGAATGAAGGCAGGATGAGTGCAGGTCAGTTGGCCCACCATGATGAATTCGGAAATTTCCGGGGGGAACCGCGTGGTGGTCGACCTCAGAGGGTCAATTGCTAGCAACGGGGCTATTAGACCTCATTACTAACAAACCCTTTCCCCCCTGATCTCTAGGATTGCAACTATAGAAATCGTATCCAGATTGGTGTAGTAGTTTTTGCATGATACCAAATCAAACATACAAACGGAGAAGACAAAATTTTTAAAATGTGTTATTTTGACACTAGCGAGTCTCCCCGGTTTCGCACAGGTGCACATTACATCACATTACATTAGAGACCTCTAAAATTATCAGTGTTCCTCTACTATATTACGCATGTATTATAAATATAAACCTTCCTCTTGAATCACTCTATCTATTTAAAAAAAAACTTCAAAATCTGTTGCATAGTTTTAAAGATTTAAGCATACATAGGGACGGACAGACAGCGATAGCGACTTTGTTTTATACTATGTAGTGATGTATTCGTCTTTAAGACCGCCTCATATAAATTTTTCTTTAATATATATATATATATATATATATATATATATATATATATATATATATATATATATATATATATTCTTTATTGCACTAAAACATACAGTAACAACAATAAGTTAATAACAATGTTAGCAAAGGCGAACTTATCTCTAAAAGAGATCTCTTCCAGTCAACCTAACACAGTGGCACAGTATTTGAAAGATACAATAGGTATGGTCTAGTTATAATTTTATCATATTAGTAATATATTTAATTTTGACCTTAACTTAGCTATGTGTACCGGAGCAGACTAGATTAATCCGGTAATTTCGCATGCGTTACTAACTATTGGTTACGCAACCGGCCGCGTTTTCTACACAACCAGCGTCGAACAATATTCATGGCCGTGCCTATGTACGACTGTCAAGGTCCCTCATTTCGCGCCGTGACTCATAAATAACGAACACAGATGCCGAATAATGACATGATTTGCATATTTATTAATCCTATTCGATATTTAAAAATTTCTTTTTTTACTCGCTTACCGAAAATTCTGGGTGAATTTATTACGACGAACTAACTGATCTACATTTAGGGGGAAAGGGATTGTTAGTAATGGAAATTGAGAATCCCATTGCTAGCAATATGCCTAACCAGGTTGATCTCTGGCTATATTCCAGGTGCACTCATCACGATGGCTTCCAAGGGTGACCACGTGGATGTCGACCTGACAGGGTGCATTGCTGGCAATGGAACTAGTAGTTCGCATTACTAACAATCCCTTCCCCTCTTAACATGAACGTAGTTAAATACTATGTAAAAACTTGCGAAATGTAACAGTTGGTTTTCGTAACATGATCACGTCCACTTGTCACTAGGTAGCGTCGTAATGACATGTCTGTACCATGGAATGTTTTAAGCATGGGTCATATTAGTACCGCTGTAATATCTATATATCGACTTCTTCTATATATTGAGGACGGAATAGAAAAAAAAAATATTGCTAACTATGTATATACGTATATAGCAGTAAACATTGCTTTGGATTTGACATAAATATCATTTTAATTTAATATTTTTTTTTTTTGTTTTGTGTTGATCGACTCTGCATGTATTATATAAAAATTAAGCTATTTTATGTAACACTAGCTGTTGCCCGCGACTTCGTCCGCGTTTTCGTTGATTTTCGTAAAAGAAGTAGCCTATGTCCTTTCCTCACGGTTCAGTGGTTTTGATGTAACAGACACATTTCCCTTCACTGCTCTGCTCCTGTTGATCGTAGCGTGATGAAAAGTATACTATAACCTGGCCAGGAGTATGAAGAATAATTGTACCAAGTTTCGTTAAAATCCGTCGAGTAGTTTTTGTTTCTATAACGAACAGACAGACAGACGGACAAAAATTTTACTAATTGCATTTTTGACATCAGTATCGATCACTAATCACCGCCTGATAGTTATTTTGGAAATATATTTCATGTACAGAATTGACCTCTCTACAGATTTATTATAAGTATAGAAGATATAGATTAATATGATTTTTTTATACAACTTAGAATGGCAAACAAGCTGACGGCCCACCTGGTGGAAAGTGGTAACCGTCGCCTATAGACATGAGCAGTACCGTGGACATAACAGAGTATACTGTTTCGCCCATGATACCCCCCATGCGTTGCCATTCCTGAGGACTCGGGTGTTATTCCTCTGTACCCAGTAAATTCACGCCATATCCCACCCTTCAAACCGAAACACAGCCATGCAAACACAAATGCTTCACGGTTGAAACACGAATGGGACAGAAATACCCAAGCAGTCGACTTTTGTACAGTCTTTGTAATGACTTTGCAGTAGTGTTGCTTAATAAATTGTTGTGTGTCGATTTAAGCAATCGATTGTAATCCTCGATCCTTACTTCCTTACTAATGTTATAATTGTGAAAGTGAGTTTCTTTAAAGTGGCTCGAGGCCCGCATCTGCGTCCCCGTAAGGTTTTTTTTTAATGGTATGCTAACCCCGTCTGTGCTATCGGTTTACACTGGCAAGGCACCAGTGATAGATGACTGATGAGGATGAAGGCAGGTCAGTTAGCCCATCGTGACGAATTCGACTAGAATTAGCCACGATGGTTTCCAGGGGG